TAGCGGGTAGGTTTGGATAGTTAGGACTCAAAGTACCAATAAACCCGAAAAATATTTGAAAAATACTTCAAACCATAAATAAATACTCAAAATATATTCAAATATCTGAAAACCTTGAATTTTACCTAATCTGACTCGAAAACAAAATATACCCAAAACTTTGATTTGAATATCCAAAAAAAAAAAATATATATATATATAGAGAGATATATATTGTAGAACCCGAAAACTAAAACTGTAACTAAAACTTAAAAGAATATACATAATACCAAAAACATATATGAAATATCCAAACATATATAATAAAAAAAATTTGAGTACTTTTATGTACCCGATCGGGTCTCGGTTATGATCCATACTAGAATCGATTCTTGCAGATCTTTAAAGATAGCCAGTAAGTACTTTATCATGGATCCTAACCGAACCTATATTTTCGGGTCGGTTTGGTCATGTTTTTTGATCCGGATAAAATGTCAAGATCTAGAGAGAGTTACATTAAAAACTTACATATAAAATCTCAAATAAACTAATTTATAAATTACATAATTTTTCAAAAAATCTATTTTATATAATAAGATTTGTAGCATAATAATGTACATCAATTCTAAAATACTAAATCATATCAAAATTTATTTATAATCTAACAAAAACCCGCGCTTTCGAAGCGCGGGTCAAAATCTAGTATACTTTTAAAACTTTGTTACGCGGATAAGATTGTTTTAATACTCTATTTCACAGAATTTATAATACAATTGTCATGATGCCCAGTAGCTTGATTAAATTAACATAAACTTTTCTAACTTTTAGGCGATAAGATTGTGTTAATACTCTATTTCACAGAATTTATAACGATTGAGAGAAACAAAAGTTGAATTTTCAAAACAATAGTAGTATATATTGTTTCTTATGTTAAATTCACAACGCAATATACTCCCTCTGTTTTAATATAAGTGTCACTCTACAGCTATGCACACGGATTAAGGAAACAATTAATTTTACATATTTCCTATATAAAAACACAATTACCCACACACCTAACCATATTTTAACCAATAGAAAATCAAATTACATAATAAAATTAATAAATTTTGCATTGAAAACCGAAAACGACACTTATTTTGTAACACAAAAAATTCTCTACAACGACACTTAATATAAAACGGAGGGAGTATATCAAAATTAATTATCTACACAATGCATGCAGTACATAAGAGTCATGGACGATTCCACAATGAGAAATTATACTTTTAAGTTGTAACACATATGACATATTTTACGATGAATAGTTTTATATTAACAAACAATTTATGCATAAACCAGAATGGTCAGTTTACCTGTCTCTAACGTGTATCATCCATCCATGATTAAAAGAGAACAAGGAATTGGTCATTGTTTTTGAAGATTATCGTTTCCAGGTACTAAAAGCGATTCTTCACGATGATTGCTTTTGTCTCTCCTTGACTCTTATCTAATTTTATTCTACTCCATAATTGAGGGTTGTAAGAGCATCTCCAATGTAAAACTCCATATTTTCCTTCAAAAGAGAGTAGAAGTGATTATGGAGTAAAAATAATTCAACCCCACTCTATTTTAATTTCATGGAGTAATGAACAAAAAAATAATATATTACTCCATTTATGGAGTAAATCTCATTATGGAATAAAAAATGAAATGAGGTTTAAGCATTGTTCACTTCATAATCGATGAGATGGAAATGCCCTAATCGATGATTCTGTTTGCTAGAAATAGTTCTTTTTTCTTTTGGCTGTAAACAATTTTACATGGATCATGCTTGATATTCTTAATATACTCATTTTGATTCCTCTCCCACAAGTCAAGATGCCAAGATGATCACGTCAATCCTGAGTCTATCTCTCAGCATCAAATGACTGTCTCTCTGCATTCCAATTCGAGTCTCTAGTGTCTGGTGCCGCATTCATTGGTGCAAAAGCTGCAACTTAAGAAGACTTTACTAGATAAACAAAGAAGCAAACAAACTCAATTTGTACAAGAGGTGTTATAAGATGCAAATCGGTCTACAGAACATATCAACAATTGAATAATTGTGTAATGCAACTCAAGCACAAAACACACCGTCTAGCCCAGATGGTTAACAAATAAAAGAATCTATCGAAGTTCATAATAATTCTCTCTAACCTCGTTTTAAAACTCCATGTACTTTTTTGCACCATGTCTCATGCTCCTATCCTCAAAAAATCGCAATACGACTAAGAACACTATAAGACCCTAAGAATGTGAATCGTTTTTAGCTACAGGCTGACCTGCCTCCGTTCTGATGAACTGGAGAAGGGGAGTAACGTTGTAGAGGAACAGCGTGGCATAACCGAGCCGTCTAGCGACGAGGAGCATAGACAGTAACTGTTAGGCTTTACATGGCGCTAGGCAGTACACTGTGCTTGGGAAGATGATTCTATTTTCTTACCTCGGATTGTCTATTGATTGAACCAAAATATTAAGCCAGCCAGAAAACACCTGCCGGAAACTAAATGTGTCAAAATTTGAGTGACTAAACTGACTTGCGTTTTGTATATATAACGAACAAATTTTGTTAGAGCAGCTACAGCAGAGGTTCATGCCAAAGTTCACACAATTCCCAAAAAAAAAAATTACTATAATAATGAATAGGGATGAACCCCAGCTCGTGCAGGTTGTCTCTGCTGAACCGGTTCATTGCTATTTTCGCGGGCCCCACGCCACGTGGCGGCCCGCGATTGGTCCCTTATTTTTTTTATTTTTTATTTTTTAAAAAAAGAAAAAAGTCAGACAAAAAAAGAGAAAAAGAATAAAAAATAAAACCATGAATCCCACTATGGGTTTATTAGTGTGGATGCCCTTATCACACGTAAATTTGAGTGACGAACCGAACAAAACCAAAATTCACACGTAATCATTAATTGGTATAAATTTTCTTTTTACATTTGGGTGACTAAACCCAACTCAAGCATTCATCAAACTTATTTCTTTATGACGGAAGGAAATACTTCACCTATAGGTGAAAAAGTCTATAAGCTATGTTGCGCAATTATCATGGGTTCAAAATGCAAAGATTCTCCGCCAAGACACGAGTCAAAAGAACATATATGCTCCATCACCACAAAACTTCCTCGAAGGTGTGAGCGCACTTTTCTTCCAAAAGATACCTCACCAGATGCTCCCGCCAACCCCATGGAAACCTCCAAATTTGGATGGAAAGAGAGTTGAAATGCTATTGAGATGTGAGAACTGTCATCTGCATCATAACAAATCAAGTGAATATGATATTTCTTTCTAGTTGAATCTGACCAAATAAATAGCTTTTGAAGCTTTCAGTTCAATATAAGATAAAGCTAACCCGCATCTTCTTCTTGCTTCTGTTACGCTCTTCATCACTTTCTCTAAAGTCAGTTTCTGAGATATTCATGACTCGTGCACCGCATCCTTTTATCTCTTCATGTCTAGAATTTTGTTGGTGGCTGCCGCAGGAACACCCTTCATAATATCCATCATAATGGCTTTTATAAAACTCAAGTATTAGAACGTTGTCGTTCCTTTCAGATGGCGAGTTATCCACTCGTTTTATTTTTAAACGTAAGAAGAACAAAACTAGATGATCCATCTCGTACGTGCATGCGTCCACTATAACGTCACAAAGAATCTCTTCCTTTTGGCCTCGAAAGGACTGACGAACTGTTAATCTGGCGGGGTAGTGACTTGAAGGTCCAACCACGATGCAAGTTTTAAGTAATATAGATTCTTGAGAAAGAGAGCTCTCGGGTAAGAGGATACTTAGGGAACTTCCACAAGTTCGATGTGTGAAATACATAGGCACTTCTCCACCTGGTATAACGGCCATCTTTGGGTATGATTGTATAATGATTTCTTGTGCATCTCCATCCAAATTGAAGCAATTATGGAACTTGAAAGGAGCCACTTGCGGAAATCTGAAAGAAATATATGAAGAAATATTAAAGACATCACTGTGTGGCCGCCCTGGTAAGTGATCAGAGATTGTGGTGATTCCTCCACAATCTGAAAAGTCTGCCTTATCACATTCCAATTTAAAAATCTCTGCGGAGATATTCTTTAAATTTTTGCACCGACGCATTGTTAGTTTCCTGAGACGAGACATGTTTTTAATCCAGGAAGGAATCTCTTCAATGGCAGTGTCATCTAGATATAGATGAATAATGCCGGTTGAAATCCGAGGAAAATCTCTCAATTTTGAACATCCACTGAGATAGAGTTCTTTAAGAGTAACCAAGTTGATGTCGACTGGTAGAACCTCAAGCATTGTGCACCCTTCCATGTTCAAGCGCTTGAGTTGGTAGAGATTCCTAACTGAAGAAGGAAGCATCACCAAGCTTTTACAATTTTTGAGTTCCAAATACCTAAGGTTGATGGCCATTGAAAGATCTGGAATTTCAACGAGGCTTTCACATCCTGATAAATGCATCGCCCAAAGTTTTCCAAGGGACTGAAAAATAAACAAGAAACATATTATTATGTCTTCGATATAGAACGACTCTAGGTACAAACACCAAATTATTGAATTAACAAACGTTATACTGATATTTAAGAATGTGATGAGCACAAAGATATTAATATGGCATTTAATAATAAATAGCGATTAAATTACCTTGACCCCTCCCCATAACTTCTTAAGCCTGCCACTACTCATTACAAGGTACTCTATATCTTTTGGGTTGAAATTAGGTGGCATACAACTCAATGGAACATCATCCCAATAGAGTTCTTTAAGGTTAGGGATATTCTCAATCCAAGAACTATCTTCTTCTCCTTCTAATGCAGTTTCTTCTAGGTAAAGCGATGTAATGTTCCTTGATATACAAGGAAACGTTCTCAACTTTGAACATACATTAAGATTGAGGAGTTTAAGAGATTCCAAGTCGATGTCAGTTGGCAGAAAGTTAAGGTTTGAGCATTTCGACATGTCTAATTCAGACAGTTTACTGAGATTTCCAATTGAGGAAGGTAGTGTCACCAATGATGTGCATCCCGAAAGCCTCAATCCATACATTTTAGTGAGATTCCCAATTGAGGAATGAAGTGCCACCAAAGATGAGCATCCCCAAAGCTTCAATTCCTTGACATTTATGGCTTTTGAAAGATCTGGAATCTCTTTCAAATCTGCAGAATAACTCATATCCATCTCCTTCAGACTTCCAAGTAACTGACAAATAAAAGGGGAAATCAATACCAAAAATATTTTGTCCATGTTCTTTTGTGATGTTGGATGCTGCATGCACCTAGATGCATATGTTCAAATATTGTTTTTTGTACACTATTACAGTTGCATTATTTTGATGCAAAATCAAGAACATCTATAAATTTAAATATTTGAGATATAAAAAAAATGTATAGCTTGGATGCAAAAGAAGAATATCAAAATCCAAAATACTTAATACTCTTTAGTATAAATATATAAAATTAGTTAGCTATCTGTTAATAGTTTTGTTACTAATACTAATTAATTTTCTGTTAATAAGTTGTTATCAAATATTTATAATATCAAAATCCAAAATACTTAATACTCTTTAGTATAAATATATAAAATTTTAAACCAAAAATGTGTTTCCTCTCTAAAACTAAAAAATATATGTTTTCTGTCAAAACTTCAAATAGCATTTTTCCATCAAATAGTAAAATCAATTTTTTTTTTTTCAAAACATAAAATTTATTTTTCTGCTAAAACCATAACATAAAAAAATTCCGCCAAAACCATAAAATCATGTTTTCCATCAAACTGAAAAATCAAATTTCCCACTAGAAACACAAAATCAAGATTTCTGTCAAAACCGGAAGATCAAAGTTTCCACCAAAACCGTGACATCAGCATTTTATTTAAACACATAACTAATTCATTATTAATAATATAAATCACATACTTTTTAGTCTTATTACTCAAAGCATTTAAAATTTATTATTAAATAATTCCGCTAACAATTTAGTATCATAATATTGTATCACGATGCAAATACTAACTACAAAAACGAACATATATGAATGCAACATTCAAATGTAATATTAAAATGATGCATTTAGATGCTACATCCAAATACAAAACCGAACATGGCCTTTACTGTTTTAAAATGGAAAACTAATTGATCTTTTAAAAGTATTACCTGAGTTCCTTCCCACAACTTCTCAAGCTTACTATACTCCATTCTGAGTTCAACCAGACTTTCCACTCTAAAGTGGGAAGGCATACACTTGGATGGATATTCATCCCAACGTAGAAATCTGAGTTTGCGTGGAAAATGATCCAGGCCTCGATCAGGTAAAGACAATCTGCCTTCACCAGTCTCCCTTGCCCACAAGGATTTGTAAAAGTTTAGTAATTTCAGATTACACATTCCTTTAAATGATTTTTTTTCTATAGACAATGACTCGTTGATTTCCGACATGTTCAAATACATGGCTAGAGCATTCTTTGTGCCCTGAAAAAAAAAAGAAAACAAAAATCCTCAATATTGTATCTTAACAATTCCTATATTGATCAAACACCAAATAACAATCACAATATATACAGAGCCAGTCTAGCATGAAAACCATATGTAAAAAGCATGAAAACCATATGTAAAAACTCACAGTAGTATCGGTAAGTACATCAAGTGTATCCTCAGTTTCCGTCAAGAACCTACGATTGTTGATGGGCTCTGCAAGATCGATTTCTTTACCCAACTTCTGTAACAAACTGTGCATTTGAACAATTCCTGTTGATTCCCTACGTATTAGAGACTTGTCACACAGTATCTTGATCCCAATTTCAGCACTATCTCCGAGCAAGTCTTTAAAGAAATTGACGTCGCGACCATCGGGTAGGCATGCAATGCAAAGGAATAATTCTTGCCTTTTGCCATCTAACCTATCATAGCTGACTTGTAGTGTATTCCTAATTTTCCCATCCAAACTCTCCAAGAGACTAGGCATCATCTCCACCCACTCCTCCTTGTTCATCCCTTTCAACGACGAACCCAAGACACTTAGACCTAAAGGGAGGTTACTTGAATGCAATGCAACTTCCTCCGCGAGTTCTTCAAAACCATGAGGCGGAGAGTCTTTCCCAAACGCAGATCGACAAAACATCTGCATAGCCAAATCGTACGATGGGAGCTCAACCTCATAAATGAGCTCAATCTTTTGAGACTTTAAAAGTTTCCTATCTTGAGTTATCACAACGATTCTGCTCCCGGAACCAACCAAACCAGTTTGATCCATCAAGGTGTTTAGCACTTCGACATCATCCACATCATCAACGATGATAAGAACTTTCTTATGCATTAGCCTTTGTTTTGCCACACCTGGATGACTTATCTTTACGTCCTTTTGACACAAAATTTCCGACAGAAGTCGTTCATCCAAACGCAACTTCATTTTACTAGCATCCCACTTTTCTTTACTCTTGTAAGAGACGAAGAAAGCATGTTTGTGGAATAGGCTAGAGAGTCGACTAAAAAGAGCTCTTCCTATGGTACTCTTACCTACCCCTGAAGTCCCCCAAATTCCTACCCTTCTAACCTCCTCAGATTCCAAACACAAAAGCGAATTCAACCTCTCAAAATGAGCTTCAATCCCCACAATGGCACTAAAATCATTTGGTGGTATCATAAGTTTATTGAACACATCCTTAGCTATGTGTTCAATCATTTTTGCTTCGCCTTCAACCATCCTAAAAATTAATGGTATAATATTGTTAGTTTATAATTAAGTTTTGTATATTTAATAAAATCATATAAGTTATTGTGTATGTAAAGTGAAGAAGCGTGTGTAAAGCTCGTGAAAAGCCACCTATCATTACGAGTTTGTTCATGTAAATAATCTATTTAAGTTGGATGTTGTAAAACTGGTCGAGAAAATAAAAAAAAATAGAGTTTTGCAGAGTTTATCTCTCAATCTCTCCACCAGATCTTTTAATATCAAGTCTTCCACTTTGATCAAAGTAGAAATAAATTTTAACAACTATCACTAACAGTCTAACAGACACTTGAAATATATTCAAATTAATTTTTTTAAGAAACCAACGTACCAATTTTTAGAATCCTCTCCGGCCAAGTTTGCTACATCTGTTAGTGCTCGAATCCACTTTTCTCTGTCCTCTTCTGTTTTGTCTTTGCATGTTTCTTTAAACCTCTCGCCAAATTCACCAGTCTGCTTTCTAACCTCAGAAGGATCGACATGGTAAAATATCGGTATCACCATCTGATCCAGATCCTTAAAGCACTTGTGGATCTCCACCAGTTCGTTCAAACACCATGTTGACGAGGCGTAGTTCTTAGAGAAGATGACTATCGCGATTCTCGATTCTTTTATCGCCAGTAAAAGCTCAGGTCCGATAGGGTGGCTTCTGTCGATGCGGTTGTCGATGAATGTAGTGATAAAGTTGCGTTCAAGCCCCATGAGAAGATGGCTGAGGAATGCGTCTCGGACATCTTCTCCACGAAAGCTCGGGAAAACATCGTATCTCGAGTTGCTAGAAGTAGTAGAAGAAGAAGCCATGGCAAAAAAAGGATAGAGAAGAGAGTTGTTGTAATTATTGTGGTGAAGAACTCAGGAAAGGGTGTAGACATACATACGAGTAAGGAAGCGAAGACCAAGACTTGTAGGAAACTTCGAGCTGATTTCCATTTTCCATTCAAACCACACAACAAAAGTTGTCGGTAATTTGACAGAAATGTGAAGAGCAATAATGGTCACATCCAACTTTAACCTAGAAGAAAAGACAAAACTCATGGGCCATAGCCATAAATTGTGGTCCATAATCACTCGAAGACACGAAGACTTGTAGGAAACTATAAGGTGAGAAACTTACAGGAGATCTCGAGCTGATTTCCACTTCCCCATCAAAACCATTCATCTTTTATTATCCATGAATGTTAGAAGTGAACCCAATCACCCTTTTGATATCTTAGAACACATGTTTGCTGTGATGCAATTAAGGCCTCAAATCTTATAAGAAACTTTGTGAAAGAACAAACTAAACAAAACAAAACAAGTTACCGCAATTTTCTCTTCTTCCCTCATTCTCGTCTCAACTCATGCTTAAATACAACACTAAAGAAATAAACTAACTACTACTAGTGAAACATGAAACGTGGGTAAGAAGAAACACATCCTGAAGCATATTCCCACTAAATAAAAAGCAATACGGAAACTAATGGCCACGCACTACAAGAATTCAGTTAGATAGCTAATGATTTATTTATTGCTAGAGAGAACAATCTGTCGCTAAAACGCAACTGACAGATAACTACGGATGAAAATGTAAAGATTATTAGCTCTTAGGTTACTTAGGTTGGAAGTTATCTTTGATCTAAGTCGAATACTGAAAGTAAAGACACAAGCAATTTAACGAGTTCCCGGCCTTCAGCACGGTATGTCTCGTGGGAGAACTCCTGCTCCCAAAATCCACTAGATCAAAGAGACACTAGACACACCAATTGATGGTCTAGATAGTTGTTTACAATGAACCAAATACTCTAAGCTCAACAAACCCTTGTTAGATAAATAGACTTAGGCCTAAGCTATTATCTTGTATAGTTGTCTCTTGCTTAACACCTGGATCTGATTCTTGCCTTTGTAAACCCTTGTGTTGCACTTAACTTGCCGTAACCTAATCAACACACTAACACCTTATATACGTGTGTTGTATGTGATCAGGTGTTTGTGGGCTCAACCGGAGTGGGCTTGATAGAGTTGTGGCCCATCTGCTCTTCATGTGCAAGCCCAAACTTCAACAAATCTCCACCAGTTTGGCTTGGGCCTACCACTGGCCCATAGAAGATGCCTTCTTGCCGACAGATCCACTCCGCTTGTCTCTTTGTCTTCTCTGACGAAAAAGAAACAAAGACAAGAGCATTTTGTCTTTCTCTCTGTAGTCGTGTCTCTCTCTCTCTTTTCTCCCTTGATCCTACACCACCGATGTGGTCTCAGACTCGTTTGAGAGAGATCCTTGCCAGTATATGCGGTTCCACGCCACTCCCTTATCTCGTTTGTCTCCAGGTACTTCCAGTCTCACTTTATCTCGAGAGATTAGGATCATCTGTAAAGAGGATTGAGATAATTCTTGAGTGTTGTACTGACCCCTGTTCTTTTCTTTCACTGCATGTCTTCTCAGGTGCTTCGTGACTCCGTTCCTGTCGTCGATCTAAGATCCCGACATGCTCTAAGCTCATACGCGAGCTCCACCGCCTTTCTCCACCTCCTGAGTCAAACCCGGTAGTAGTTCTCAACTCAGATCCTTGATTTTATGTAGTTTAATCCTCAGATCTGACTCATCTTTCTTCTTCACACGTTGTTGCGATTCCCCACAGGTCTTGTCGCAAGCTTACTCGCTTCTCAACTGTGAACTTCCGATGTGTGTTCTACTCCATGTAAGCTTCTCAAACTTGAACTCGGTTTGAAGAGTGTAGACCTTAGCAATAACTCACATTCTCTGTGTCATTGCTAATACGAGGTGTTGGCGATCCGTTTGTGAAACCTGTACCTGACCCTGATGCTTGCTTGTGACTGCTACACACTTCACTGTCATGCCACTGTTTCTTGCTGATGGGAATGTCTGGTGGCCTACGGTTACTCTACCTGAACCAAGCTTTCTTCTTGGTTCGTCTTATCCTCCAGGTGATTCCTTCTTCTTTATTGACACTCCCTGTTGATGATTTCTTATTTACACACACACTGACCATTTGTTATTATGTCTGTGATATGCGAGTTATGGGAATCATACAACTTGAGTCACCTGGAGCGTCTCCTTCCTGCTTAGTTCACATTCAAAAGCTCACAGCAAAGCTGGAACTTCTGACCAGGTACCGTCTTAGTTAGGAAATCTGCAGGATTAGCATTCGTATGAATCTTGTTTAGGATAATGTCGCCTGTTTCCACAAGATCTCGAATGAAATTAAACTTGGTAGCTATGTGTTTAGTCTTCTCGTGATTGACTGGATTTCTTGCTAGGGCTAGAGCACTTTGAGAATCACAGTAGAGTTTGATCCCTTGTTGTTTGAATCCCAACTCTGAACATATTTCTTTTAGCCACATTGCTTCCTTAGCTGCTTCATTCATTGCCATGTATTCTGCTTCTGTAGTAGACAATGCTGTAACTGATTGTAGACATGATTTCCAAGACACTGTATTTCCTCCAAACTTAAAAGCATACCCTGTAACTGATCTGCTCCTGTCTCTATCTGTAGCATAGTCTGAGTCTGAATACCCTTCAACTGTCATTGTAGAATGCTTTCTAAATGTTAAATTAGAATCCATCGCTCCTTTTAAGTATCTAAGAATCCACTGAACCGCTTTCCAGTGGTCTCTTCCCGGTTTACTCATAAACCGACATACATAGCCTACTGCGAATCCTAGGTCAGGTCTTGATCCCACCATTGCATACATTAGGCTTCCTACTGCGCTTGCGTATGGTATTCTTTCCATGTGTGATGCCTCAACTTTCAATTCATCTTCTGTTAGACTTCTTAGCTTGAAATGTGACGCTGTAGGAGTAATTACCGGCTTTGAATCACACATTCCGAAGCTTTTAAGTATCTTTCCAATGTACTGTCTTTGGGATAGCACCAATGTTCCTTTACTCCTATCTCGAATGATATCCATGCCTAATATCCTCGAGGCCTTTCCCATATCTTTCATTTCAAACTCCTTGCTTAGTTTCTCCTTGAGTTCTCTAATGACCTTTTTATTTCCCGAGGCAATTAGCATATCATCGACATATAGCAGTAGGTAGATAGCCTTATCAGTGTTGACATCCCTCATGTAAACACATAGGTCTTTGCTGCTTCTCTCAAACAACTGGTCTTTCATGAAGCTGTTGAACCTATGGTTCCATCTTCTTGGAGACTGTTTCAAAGCCATATAGAGACTTTCTCAGCAAACACACCTTGTTCTCTGTTCCCGGTTTGATAAACCCCTCTGGTTGCTCCATTAGAATTCTCTCCTCTAAGCTTCCATGTAAAAAAGCGGTTTTCACATCCATCTGTTCCAGTTCGTAGTCTAGGTTTACCACGACACTGAGCATGAGCCTGATGGAGACGTGCTTGACTACTGGGGAGAATATCTCGTTGTAGTCGATCCCCTCCTTCTGTGAATACCCTTTAGCTACCAACCTCCCTTTGTATCGCTCCTTTTCAACCCCTGGGATTCTTGGTTTTAGTTTGAACAACCATCTGCATCCAACAAGTTTTGCCTTATTCGGCCTCTCTATCAGATCCCAGGTTCTGTTCTTTCGGTGAGACTCCATCTCATCTTCAGCAGCACGTTTCCACAGACTTCGTTGAGGTCCTCTCATAGCTTCACCATAGCTTTTAGGTTCCTCAATCTCTAGATCTTGAACGACATTGAGTGCATAAGCTACAAAGTTTCCATCTTCATATCGCGAAGGTGGTCTCACGTTCTGTCTCCTTTCTCTGTCACGTGCTAACATATAGGTATCCAGTGTTTCATTTACCTCATCCTCGCTCTTAGTCTCCTCATGTGGTTCCTGATCGCTAGAGTTTGAACTACTTGAACCTTCTGATGAATCATCTCCACCTTGATCAGGAGGAGCTTTGGTTTCTGAGGAATTAGAAGGTCCCCTGATCAATTCATCACTGAACGATACTCTCTTCTTGGCTCGCGTTTCGCGATGCATCTCCCTTTTGTTTTCTGCTTCTGATTTCTCTCCTTCTTCAGCCGTAGTGTGTTTGTACAGCTGTTCTTCGTTGAATACTACATTCCTGCTGGTTCTGCACCTTCCTTCTTGGGGCACCCATACGCGATACCCTTTAGTGCCCATAGGATATCCAACGAAAACACCCTTGATGGCTCTAGGGCCTGTCTTTTCTTCTGTGATATGCACAAAGGCTGAACAGCCAAACGTTCTTAGATGTCCCAGATCAGGTTTATACCCCGACCAGACTTCCTCAGGGAGCTTGAAGTTCAGAGTTGAGTTTGGTGACCTGTTGATCAAGTAAATTGCAGTAGAAGCTGCCTCAGCCCAGAAGCTTTGGTCCAAGCCAGATTCGGCCAACATGCATCTTACTTTATCCATAATTGTCCTATTCATTCTCTCTGAGACGCCATTCTGCTGCGGAGTATAAGTGCAGGTTCTGTGCCTTTTAATCCCAGCCTTTTTGCAGTACTCATCAAACAGAGCTTTCCCAAAGCTAAATAGAGCTTTCCCAAATAATATGGGGTTCTCCTTCTACACCGGATAGTCTTGCTGGAAATAAATATTTTGTTACCTTTATTGATGATTTCTCAAAAAAGGTCTGGATCCATTAGTCACACGTTTAGCTTTGGGAAAGCTCTGTTTGTGTGACTTTCCAATAACACAATGTTCACAGAAATCCAATGTCTTAACCTCCTTGTCAATGATAAATCCATGTTTGACAAGTTCAGACATATTGTTAAGACTCATATGACCGAGGCGAGAATGCCAAACATTAGTCATATTCATCTCAGCTTTAGAAAGATTTATCTCTCCCCTTAAGACAGTTCCTTGTAGATAATATAGTCCCTAGTGATATCTCCCTGAAAGTATCCTTTTATTATCCTTGTAGAAACTAACCTCCAGATTTCTGCCTTCA